CATGGAGCGCACAATGCCTCCATGAAGCACAATGTGGCGCTCCACAGCCTAGTCCTGCCTCTGCAGCTCCACTCTCTTCGTAATACGACGGCCACGACCAAGCGTGCATCCCCCCACTCCGCCTCTAGACAATCCCCAATCTTCGTCCCGTCAGGGCTCGAGACGGGACTGATAGGCCCTCTCCGAGGCGGGCCGCAAAATCCAAGACGTCGCGCCAGGTGCCCTTCCACCCCCCAGAGGGGCTCGACGTCCGAGCGGTCGGAGGGCTCGGAGGGGTCGGGGAGGGCTCGGAGGGCTCAAGGATCGACCCCTCCGAGCCCTAATGGAGCCCTCCAGCCCTCCAGCCCTCCAGCCCTCCGAGCCCTCTTGGGGGGCAGAAGAACATAAGCCGCGATTTATTATTTTTTGCGACCCCTCCCGGAGAGGGCCCTTCCGACCCCTCTCGAGCCCTACCGCCACGAAGATCCTCCCTTGTCCGACCGTCCCTCCGAGCCCACCCGGCGTCCGGGGAGGGGGTTAGCCCTGTGGAGCCCTCCCGACGCCGATCCGACGGGGACCCCTCCAGCCCTGTGGGCTGGCGAGCCCTCCGAGATCGGGAGGGGTGGAAGTGGGAGGGCTCGAGGACGGACCTCTCTCGCTCCGGGAGGGTGGAGGGGTGCAGGGTGGAGGGGGTGGAGGGGTGGCTGAGCCCTCTAGCTCTTCCGATAAGCCCTACCCCTCCCGCCGTTTTAGGGCTTGCTGACCCGCTATGTACCGCGTTGGTGTCCAGTCCGAGCCTGACTGTTGTTCATCTTTCTACATCATACATACAAAAAGAACCCCGGACCGTTTGTGTGTGTGTGTGTGTGTGTGTGTGTGTGTGTGAGAGAGAGATTTTTAGCAATACCAAACAACTCTAACACTCACACGTAATTTGGGGCCTGGAGCCCTGTTCACGCGCGCGCGAGACGTGCAGACAGGGTTGCCAGGTGAGAGCGAATGGCGCGGTTCACGCCTCGCACAACAGAGAGAGAGAGATGCGCTCTGCATGGTGGGACATAAAAGAGAGCGAGTACTTGGGCGAGTAGGCCGTGCGGTCAACGCTGCCGCGCGCGACTTTGCGCGCGAGGCGGCGCAGCTTGAGAACGGCGGTGGGCGAGAAGCCGCGTTGTTTGTGTGTGTGTGTGTGTGTACACAACCCCGGACCGAAGACGCACAAGCACAGACAGTCTTTCACATTTTGCACGGGCCGTCCCTTTTGTTTTGTTGTGTAAAAAAAGAAAGAAAACAAAAAACCCAAGGGAGGGATGGGAGGACGGCACGCCGCCACCACACAGGGATTTTAAGGAGAGGAGTGTGATGCGCTAGCCGTCGCCCACCCTAGGGAGTCTGCCTCTTCCTATCTCTTTTCGCAGTGTTTTACTACAAAGTGAAACGAAAGGTTTCTTTTTCCTCTGAGTACCCTTCACCCCGACCCTCGAAGGGCGTCCTCCGTGCCGGCATGCGAAGGGCGTCCTCCGTTGACGACTTCGGGCTGGCACGCCTCCAGGCGTCAGTCGCTGCACCACCGCCCGGAGCTGCTGGACAGTCGGGAGGCGGACTGCAGCAAGACCCAGGCTACATGCCCAGCGCTGCACAAATGCTCGGAGCTGCTGGGTCCAGCGCCGCAGGGCCTGAGCTTCAGGCGTCAGGGCCAAACGAAGAGTACTCCAGCGCCGGAGCTGCTGGGTCCAGCGCCGAGCAGCGCGATCTCGACTTCCAGATGCAGGCGTGGCTCGATGTGATGGAGGTCGATGTCCTCGTCGGTCCTTGGCCAGCGCCGCCAGCGGGCAAGACGTACTGCTGGGGCGGGATCCTAGAGGGCACGATTTGCCCGCACCACGTCGACAAAACGCAGTCGGGCAGGAAGTGCTACTACTGCCCTGCCCACCAGCTGGAGGTGCGGGTGCCGCTGGTTCGCGTGCGGATAGCGCAGGGGCGCGAAGCATCTCCCGCCTCCTGGACGGGGAAGGGATCGGGTGCTGTCAAGGCCAAGGGCTTCTCAACGCCGTACAAGCGGATCGCACCACCGCCGCCCGCGCATGGCGGCGGCGGCAGCAGCGGCGGCGGCGGCGATGGCGGCGGCGACGGCGGCGGCGACGACGACGGCGGCGGCGACGGCGGCGTTGCTGGCGGAGGCAGCGGCGGCGGCATCGGCAAGCTGTTCAACGGCTGCAAGAAGAAGAAGCCGGGGCCAGCGCTCCTTGTCACTCCCCATGCTTGCGGCGAGGCGGATGTGCAAGCGCTGATTGGCGGAAACTGCCTTGCGTCATGGTTCGAGGACGGGTGTTTGGTTCTCGCTTGGCGCGGGAATGCGCGCGACTTGCAGCCGCGCGACGAGGCGGCCGGCTCTTCAGCCCCAAAGGCGCGAGCCAAGCGCGCCCGGAGGAGCGGCGGCCGCGGCGTCGGCGGCGGCGACAGCGACGGCGACGGCGACGGCGACGACGCGACATCGCGCGCTCTCGTCCCGCACGAGTCGACCACCGCCAGCGTCGGGTCGTCTGGCGGGCCGCAGCAGCAGCCGTCGCTGTCGGCGACGTTCACCGTGCAGGACAAGGACCTGCTCGGTCTCCTCGTGCGCTGCCTGCGCATAGGCGACCCGGCTCCGTTCGCGGGCATGGTGCAGGGCAAGAAAGGCTTGCGCCTTCTGTTGAACAACCCGGCACCGCACACGCTCGGCTTGTCGGAGGAGGACGCGGGGGGGCTACTGGATTGGCAGCAGCAAACTTGCAAGTCGCTACGCATCTCGGCCAGCAGCGGCCCGACGGCGGAGTTCGAGGCAGCCGTTCGGACGATGCTCGAGACGTACCTTTGCGACGCGGAATCCATCAACGCATCCGGCTTGTCGGTCGAGTGGAGAGACTCTCGCTTCACCCTCCGGCTAGACGGCAAGCTGGCCCCCGCGCCGGAGGAGCGCAAGACTCTGCAGGAAGAGCTCCAGGACGCGCTCCAGCACCTCTCTGGGATAGAGGACCTGACGGTCTCCCTCAGCCAGGGCTCGATCCTCGTCCATTGCCGCTGCCGCGCGTCCGAGATCCCCGCGGCGATCCTTGCGCTGTCGGGCCGGACCTTGTGCGAGTACCCGGTCATCGCTTTCGACGACGGCACGCCGAGCCCGCGGGTCGACAGCTACGAGTTCGAGGTCCGCGCGCCGGTGCAGGCGCTGCAGGCGTTGCGAGCGCTCGTCGAGCCGGCCGGGGCGCTGCTTGGGCCGGAGCAGCTTTTGCCGCTGGCGGAGGCGCCGGCAGAGGCGGCGGACGCAGAGATGGCCGAGGTGGCGGGCGGCGCGGGGGAGGAGCGTGGGGAGGCGGGGGAGAGCGAGGAGAGCGGGGCGGAGGAGAGCGAGGAGGAGAGCGAGGAGGAGGAGGAGCCGGGTGCGCCACCGCAGAGCAGTCTCTGACCCCCCTCCCCCTCTC